GTAGAAAATCTCAAGGAATCAACAACAACAAAAAGCCTAGAACCAATGATGTGTTCAACAAGGTTACAGACTAAAAAATGAATGTTTAAAAACTAACTGCACTTCTATATACTAGCAATGAACGCATTGACACTGAAATTTAAAACACCATACCATTTCCAACCACTTAGAAAAAGCAATACTTAGGTGCAAATCTAACACTGCATATAGAGGACTTGTATGCTGAAAACTACAGAACACTGATGAAGGAAATCAGAGAGCAAAATAAATGGAGAGACGTAATACCAGGTTCACGAATTGGAAAACTTAATTTAGTAAAGAGGTCAAGTCTTCTCAAATTGATATATTGGTTTAATGAAATTCATTTTAAATTCCCTGCCAGATTTTTTTGCAGATACACACAAGGTTATTCTAAAATTCATGTGGACATGCAAAGGAACTGAGATAGCTAAAAAATTTTTAAGAAGAATAAAATCTCCCCAATTTCATGACGGATATTATATAGTATGATATTATGATATAATATGATATATGATATTATACAGTAATGAAGATCATGTGATATCAGCAAAGGCATAGGCACACAGATCAATGGAGGAGAATAGAGAACCCAAAAATAGACTCACACAAATATGCCAAGCTGATTTTTGGCAGGACTGTAAAAATAATCTAATAAAGGAAACATAGACTTCTAAACAATGTTGGAACAACTGGTCATCCAAGGGCAAAATAATGAACCTTGATCTAAATTTCATACCTTATACAAAAACAAACTCAAAATGGATTATGGGCATAAGCATAAAATGTAAAAATATAAAGCCTTTAGGAGAAAAGAGAAAAATCTTTGTGATCTAGGATAATGCCAAGTTCTTAGACTTGACACCAAAACCACAATCCATAAAAGGAAATGGCTTTCAGCAAAATTAAAAACTTTGGCTCTGCAAAGTATCTTATTAAGAGAATAAAGAGAGAAACTACAGACTGGGAGGAAATATTTGCAAACCACAAACTTAACAAAAGACTAGTATCTAGAATATGTAAAAAACTCTGAAAACTCAATAGTAAAAAAACAAATCAAACCCATCTGAAAATGGACAGAAGATGTATACAGATATTTCAGTGATGAAAATGTGCCGATGGCAAGCAAAGTTGCTCAACATCATTAGTCATTAGGAAAATGCAAATTAAAACCACAGTGAAATGTCACTAACTTTACACCTATCAGAATGACTAAAATAAAAAATAGTGACAACATCAGATGATGGCAGGGATGTGGAGAAATTGGATCACTCATACATTGCTGGTGAATGTGTGAACTGGCACAGTCACTCTGGAAAAAAAGTTTGGCAGTTTCTTAAACTAAGCATGTGGCTACCATCATGCAACCCAGGAACTGTACTCTGGGCATTTGCTACACAGGAATGAAAATTTGTTTTCATGTGATATCTAGGTACAAATCTTTATAGAAGTTTTGTTTGTATATTACAAAAACTGGAAACAATTCAGATCCCTTTCAAAATGTGCCATGTTCACACCATGGATTACTACTTAGCAAAAAAAAAAGCATGAGTTATTGATGTAATTGAGAACAAATTTCTTAATTATATATTGAGAACAAATTTAAAGATGAGACTGAGTAAAGTGGAGACACTAACAAGTTTTTTAAAGGAAGCATTTTCCATCATGAATTTTGTTAAGACAATTTCTTGTAAGTGCTATTAAGCATCCCAAAATTTTCCATCACTTTTTTTTATTTTATTAAAACATTTTATGAGGATTAAGCACATAAATATTTAATAAATATTTGATTTGGCAATTTGTTTTTGTTTGTTTTTGTTTTCTTTTTTCTGATTATAGCTGCTGCTAATTTTTTGGTGCTTTCCTGCTGGTGTTAAGTTTATAGAGGTAGATTTTGTATGACAAATTTGATTTTTCCATTAGTTTTTCCCTATTAACAAATCTTATTCTACAGAGTGTTAGCCAATGTCTGTTTCGTGGTGGTGGTTTAGTCATTAAGTTATGTCCGACTCTTGCAAACCCATGGACAGAGTAGCCTGGCAGGCGACAGTCCATGGGATTCTCCAAGCTAGAATACCAGAGGGGGTTGCCATTTCCTTCTCCAGGCGATCTTCCCAATCCAGGAATTGAACCCGGGTATCTGCACTGTAGGCAGATTATTTACCAACTGAGCTACAAGGGAAGCCCATTGTCTGTTTTAGCCTCAGACACAGTAAGGACTTAATAAATATCAGCCACTATTATTATGCATTTGCCCAGGAGTGTCCAGGAGTCTCCAGTGGAGGCGTAGGTCCGTAGTGACCTGCTGCAGGGTTGGAGGCAGTGAGTGTGATCTTTTGTCACAATTATCTTCATTACCTCCACCATAGTTTGGCCCCAGGTATAGCAGGGAGGGAACACGGCTCCACCCATCAACAGAAAATTGGATTAAATATTTACTGAGCATGGCTCCACCCATCAGAACAAGACCCAATTTCCCCCTCAGTCTATCTCTCCTATCAGGAAGCTTCCATAAGCCTCTTATCCTTCTCCATCAGAGGGCAGACAGACTGAAAACCACAATCACAGAGAACTAATCAATCTGATCACATGGACCAAAGCCTTGTCTAACTCAATGAAACTATAAGCCATGCCACCTTGGGTGTAGGGCCACCCAAGACAGACGGGTCATGTGGAGAGTTCTGACAAAATGTGGTCCACTGGAGAAGGGAATGGCAAACCACTTCAGTATTCTTGCCTTGAGAACCCCATGAACAGTATGAAAAGGCAAAAAGATAGGACAGTGAAAGATGAACTCCCCAGGTCAGTAGGTGCCCAGTATGCTACTGGAGATCAGTGGAGACATAGCTCCAGAAAGAATGAAGAGATGGAGCCAAAGCAAAAAAGAAAACACCCAGTTGTGGATGAGACTGGTGATAGAAGCAAAGTATGATGCTGGAAAGAGCAATATTGCATAGGAACCTGGAATGTTAGGTCCATGAATCAAGGCAAATTGGAAGTGGTCAGACGGGAGATGGCAAGAGTGAACATCAACATTTTAGGAATGTCAGTGAACTAAAATGGACTGGAAATGGCTAATTTAACTCAGATGACCTTTTTTTTATTTTCAGATAACCATTATAATCTACTACTGTGGGCAAGAATACCTTAGAAGAAATGGAGTAACATCATGGTCAACAAGAGTCCAAAATGCAGTACTTGGATCCAATCTCAAAAACGACAGAATGAACTCTGTTCATTTCCAAGACAAACAACCCAATATCACAGTAATCCAAGTCTATGCCCCGACCAGTAATGCTAAAGAAGCTGAA